GAGAATACCTTTTCCTCATTAAAAAAAAAAAGAAAAAAAAAAGTCATGCGGGAAAGGGAAGCGTTAACTAACAAATAAGTGTACGTCCATGTCACACCTCCGTATTACTTCAAATTACATGCTGTCACTAATAAGGTCTTTGGGGATAAAATAAGTCATCTCTATAATTCTTCAGTACTTGATTTTATTTTTAACGACTGCCATGTGATATTATGTTCTATTCATCCTAACCTTTAATATATCAAACCTCGCAAGAGTTCATCATAAATTGTCAAAGTGTCTATGAAAATACGTTATCTTCAATAAATAGCGGGGGAAATTAAGAACACATCTATTTTTTCCTTTAGTTGTTACTAAAGCCAATGGCAATCAAAATATAGAAAAAATAGAACTGTGATACTGCTGTATGGGTAGCCCCAGGAAAGCATGTACAACAAAGAATAGCGTGATAACTTGTACGTGTTGTCTAGTTTTAAATCAACATACCTATCCACAGCTCTGTTTTGTGAGTTGTTTTAGATCTGTGAGAAAGTAGGCAAAGATCACACAACAAAGGAGATAAAACTATTTATTCAAACAATAAAAACAGCTGTGCATTTATTATATATCAGGTATTTTATTTGATACAGGGGATCAAAGATAAATGTAACATAGGCAGTTTCCTCAAGGAAGCCTCACAAACCAGTAGGGAATAGAGTCAAACAGACAGTTGTAATACAGAGGAGTAAAAGGGGGTTTTATATGATGCTTCAGGAGGACCCAGAATCCATATTAGGGCAGACAGATGGGTCAGATCAGGATTCCTGGAGGTGATAAGGTCTGTGCTGAATTTTTAATACTGTGTGGGCATTATTATCCTAAACACATTAATAAGTCCAAGAAAGATTAAAAAATCTACAAGCAGTCAGAATGGTTGGTACTCAAACTGTAAGAGCAGCATTTTAGAGATGAAGTATTTATGTATAAAGTCCCTTATGTAAATACCCTAAGGACTTTAGACTTTGTTTTCTGGAGTCTATGGGAAGTCACTGAAAGATTTTAAGTAGGGAGGTGATAAGAGGAAATTCACATTTCAGAAAGAAGTCTTTGGTAGCGGAGTAAAGAATTAGTGGCTGGGGAGACTGCTCAGGAGGCTGGTTAAAATTAAGGTGATAAATGGTAGAGGAGGGAATTAAATAAGTGCCATGGTGCAGGCAACAGCATTGAATATTGCAGATAGATACAGTAAAAAAAAAAAATCTGTTGGGGGTAATTTTATGAGAATAGTAGAGTGATAAGGCTTGGAGTTTTGTTTGCTACTGTGTTTCCTGTTCCAGGGCCAGGACCTGAGAAGTGGAAACTGATTTTTTTTTTTTCTGAATAATTACATAAATAATGGAAACTGATTTTCGCCATCAATCGTAAGGTGTGAGGCTGTCTACTGAATGTCAAGGGAGATCATGAGTTAGGGTGTCTGAGCACATAGCTGCTCAAAAGAGTTATAAAAGGACGTAACCAGGGAAACATACATCCCTTGGAAATTTTGAGGGCTGAGCTAAAAACCACTGGTTGTTAGTGATTGCTTTGTATTTTTGAATGGTTTGCTTTAGCATCATCACTATCCTAGGTTTAGAAATGGCGAAGGTAGACATGTGGATAAGAGAATAAGGGGCAAAGTGAGGGCTGACTAAGGAGGAGAAGATGGGAAGGGACCTTTGTATTTTGAAAAAAATAAAAGGGTCTCAACTCTGGAGGTTTGTATTGGGTCAAAAATATTTATAATTTTATGATCATGTAAAAGAGCTGGGAGTGTGAGAAGCTGTGTGGAGCAATATCCTCATAGGAGCTGCGTTCATTTTTTAAGGCTGCTGTAACAAATTACCGTCAATTTAGTGGCTTAGAATGAAACAAATGTTTTATCTAATAATTCTGTAGATGAGAAGTCTAAAATGATTCTCACTGGAATAAAATCAAGATGTCAGTAGGGATGCATTCCTTCCAGAAGATCTCAGGGAAGAATCCATGACATTCTTTTTTCCAGCTTCTAGAGAACCACCCACATTCCTTAGCTCATGGCCCCATTCTTCCATCATCAGAGCCAGCAATGAATGGCGGGTCTAGTCTTCCCCACACTGCATTGCTTTGGTTGGTTTTTGGCTGCCATCCTCACATCTTCTCTGACTATTTTTAGGACTCATGTGATTACATTGGGCTCGCCTGGCTAATTCAGGGTACTATCCCCATCTGAATGTCCTTAACTTAATCACGTCTGAAAAGTCCGTTTTGCTATGCAAAGTGAGACATTCATAGGTTCCGGGCGTTAGGACATGAACATTTTGAGGCTCCATAATTATGCCTAGTATGGGAGCTATGACTCAATTAAGGCAAGGAGGTATTGAAGCATGTTGTAAATTGAGTGTGGTTTTAGGGATTCACTTACCATGAAATAAGGATTTCAAAAGGCATGGTAGAAAGGTTTTAGAGAAGCAATAAAATTCGATCAGAAATATGGTTTTAGTAGTCATCTTATCTCCAATAGAAGTTGCCTTTCTGACCTTGTTCGTCTTTCATGATTTGTTCAGTGGAAATCTCATACTTGTTATCAACAAAGATTGATGGGTTAAAAAGAGGAGTTTTGAGTACATTCGCGAAAGAGGCAAACTCGGACTTCCCTGGTGGCACAGTGGTTAAGAATCCACCTGCCACTGCAGGGACATGGGTTCAAGCCCTGGTCCGGGAAGATCCCACATGCCGTGGAGCAACTGAGTCCACGAGCCACAACTACTGAAGCCCGTGCACCGAGAGCCAGTGCTCTGCAACAAAGAGAAGCTACCTCAGTGAGAAGCCCGCAGACAGCAACGAAGACCCAATGCAGACCAAAATAAATAATTTTTTTTTTTTTTTTTTTTTTTTTTTGCGGTACACGGGCCTCTCACTGTTGTGGCCTCTCCCGTGGCGGAGCACAGGCTCCAGATGCACAGGCTCAGCGGCCATGGCTTACGGGCCCAGCCGCTCTGCGGCATGTGGGATCCTCCCAGACCGGGGCACGAACCCGTGTCCCCTGCATCGGCAGGTGAACTCTCAACCACTGCGCCACCAAGGAAGCCCCCAAAAGTCTTGGTTTAAGAAAGTAGTTCAGTATATTTCTTCAACTGCTTTCTATGAGCAAACATTTGGACATTTGACTGTATTAGAGCAAGTATAGTATGTATACCCTACCTATTTTTACCAAATATTCTATAAAGTGGCAGTGACTAAAGGGGTAAACAAGTATTTCATTCATAGACTTGATCATTTCCTCCTCCATATAACAAACACTATGGATATGTTTGGCAAATTTAGATGAACCCCTTTCTTCTTAAGTATTAGCTGGGTAGACCAGTCATTCTAGCTCATTTCAACAAACATTTTCTTTTCATGTCATTGCAAATCTGTTGTCTGTGGGAAGCGAACACAAAAATGTTTCAAATTATTTACTGGCATTCTTTCTCTCTGCTGATTCGTGTGAAGTGTATAAATAGATAAACTTTTTTTTTTCTGGCTTAAAATATCAGCTTAGCCACACCTCTGGATTCAGAGGCCACATTTGTTCTCTAGGCTATGGTTCAGTTCCAAGAACAAGACTGGAGTTTTATAAGAGTCAGGTGAACTCTGCACTTATCAGAAAGGTCTTGAAATGGCAGGATCAAAATGGTGATTTTAGAGTATCAGAGAGAGAAAGAGGAATGTGTGTTGGATAAGAATGGCAAGAAAAGGACGGCATAGATAATGTGGAGTAAATAGGCTGTCTAGGAAAGTCCAGATCAAGTTCTAGAAAAGTGCATGCAACCCTTAAATGTTCCTCAGGACTTTGGATTGTTTGCAGGTTCATTATTCACAGGTGGGCGGGACTACTTACAGATGCCACAGTGGGCAGTATTGACAATATTCTATTGCAAAGTGGGGTTTTTTTTCTGACAAAATATTCTATATTGATTTTTAATTTTTTTTTTTTTTTGCGGTACGCGGGACTCTCACTGCTGTGGCCTCTCCCGCTGCGGAGCGCAGGCTCCGGACGCACAGGCTCAGTGGCCATGGCTCACGGGCCCAGCCGCTCCGTGGCATGTGGGATCCTCCCGGACCGGGGTACGAACCTGTGTCCCCTGCATCGGCAGGCGGACTCTCAACCACTGCGCCACCAGGGAAGCCCCTCTATATTGATTTTTATTGTCACTTTTCCAGACTACTTTTTTTTTTTAACTGAAACCACTTATAACACACTTAATGGAGATTACTTGTAAAAATATCCATTAATGAGAATTTTGCAATCTGAGAACATTCAGAAAAAGTTCTGTGGTTATGTGTTTGCAATAGGAACCAATAAAGTAGTTTTTCATGGAAATGTTTATTTTCAAAATCTCATTTGTGCAAAACCATACTGAAATGTTGTTCATAATATGGCATCAACTTCTACATGATATCCCAGTAATTATTTATGCAGTAATTCTCTAAATTATTAAATATTAGATGTCTATACAAAGAATATGCAATGAAGAATAAAAATGATTGGAAATAAATATTCCAAATTATTGATAGAAAATTTTATCATTTTCTTTTAGAGATTATTCAAAAAATCAATAATGGCCTTTGTGGAATAAATGCCCATTTCCATGTTTATCAGAGTCTCCTTTTTACTAACCTTTTTTTTTTTTTTTCAGCAAGTCTCCATTCATTTGGAGTATTTAACTGACACATCTCAGAATAACTAATACTGGCTGATCAAGTGATTAAAAACTGCAAATTTCTTTCATTTCAGCACCTGCATCCTTTTTGAGAGAAGTGAGAAAACCCACATGGGCCTGAAAACCCACGTGTTTATTTATAAAATCCAGTTTGTTCCTAAATAACTTGATGTTTCTCACTGGTGCCCTATTTACAATACCTGTTTTGTAAATAATCAAGGTTGAATGTATTTTTTCTGAGAAATTAAATTCTTATTAAAGTTGGCAAATACATAATGGTTTTTCTGGTTTTCTTTAAAGGATCCCCTTTTTCACCTGGAATCACACAGATCTGAGAGAGGAAGGGGCAGATGTCCTTTTGATGCCAGCTCCTCATTCATCTCCACTTTAATTGGTAATTATCATGGCTGCAGACATCAGGTGGTAGTCATATTGATTTCGAAACTTCAGGCAGATTCTTTGGTGTTTCTTCATACACATTGCTGTGTCATATCTATTTATTGGTGCTGGGAGCATGGATATTAAATTTCAAGCCATACTCACCTGAGCCAATTTTACTCTAAAATAAGTGCAGCTGCTATGAAGTATGGACGTCTCATCCAGAAAACACAAATTGTCCCTTAATACCTGATAGAAGGTATTTTGTATTATGTCATTTATTGTTCACAAAATACAATTACGTAAATACTTTTTATAAAAATGTAGCTAGAGAAACCAAACTGTTTTAACATATGTTAATTCTTTATGTATTAATTACTCTGTGACTTTAGGGGAACTTCTAATATTCTCTCCTTGGTGCCTTTCTCTGTGTCAGTAGAATTCAGCAGAGAGTCGTCTCAATTTGGAACTTCAAAGTCATTCCTGTTAATTTAAAATGTAAGCTGTAGAGGTTGAGTGGCTCAAGCTATGTCCACGTTGGCAAAATAGAATAAGCTGGCCATGTCTGATCTGGATTTCAATTGGATTTCAATTAAATTAGACAAGATACATGAAAATCTCACTTAAATCTCAGAAAAATCCTTTTTCTTTAATACAGTTTGGGACTGAAAATGGAACACCCTTATCAAATACTCCCGCACTGCTATGGTACAGACAGCTGATTGAGTTGCCAAGTGTAAAGTTGAAGAGAGCAAACCCTGACACCTCACAGAGGTGCTGTTAGGAATCATTCTGTCTCCTCAGTGTTGAGAGGTTCTCATGGATATGTGGTACAGATGTACAAGCTTCTGTTATTACATTTGCAGCACTTAGAGTTATCTGCTACTATTAGGTCATCCTGTTTACAGAAAATGAAAACATGTAAAATAACATGTAGAGATTTCCTATCCTAAATAAGTGGGTAAAACTTAAAACTCCCCACTGATGAGTAATCAACATATCTTATGCTGGACTGAGAGTTGATGCAGATGTTCCTGTATGTTCTAGAGACAACACGTTCCGTGCACTTATTCCAGACAGTTGATTCTGATGAGCCTTGCATCCGAGTTCCCACAGTCCCCTGTCGCAGTAATGGTACTCAGGTCCAAATAAGTAGAGCTTTTATATATACGGATATTTATTTGTAGAACAAAAATCTTACGTTAGCTCTAACCAGCAGGGAAGGTTTGATTTACTACAGCTTCATAATTTAAAAGTGCTTTAAGATGAGAATTTCACATAGTGATTAGTTCTTTAGGAGCTTGAATAAAGAGATATTTTTAAAGAATATAAGTTTTTTTTGTTTTTTTTTTTTGCGATACGTGAACCTCTCACTGTTGTGGCCTCTCCCGTTGCGGAGCACAGGCTCCGGACGCGCAGGCTCAGCGGCCATGGCTCACGGACCCAGCCGTTCTGCGGCTCGTGGGATCTTCCCGGACCGGGGCACGAACCCTCGTCCCTGCATCGGCAGGCGGACTCTCAACCACTGCACCATCAGGGAAGCCCAAGAATATAAGATTTTTAAGAAAATACTGTGATATCCTGAGTTCCGCTACTCACTCATATATGTGTGTGTGTAAACACAATATGAGGAGGGGAGATTTTAAATATGGAAATTGAGTTGCTTAAGCCAGTTTGGACTTAGTAGGAATCAGAACCTTAAGAATGCCACTTTTGGAGAATGCCAGATTCATAAATGTTAGAAATTCGTGGTAGATTGGCAGCATACGAGTTAAAATACATGCATTTGATAGACTCATACAATTTTTTTCTAATGTTTTTAGTGATTTTTGTAACTTCATAGATTTAAGATTTGAATATGTCTGGAAGAAAGAGACTGTCTTATCATCTTTCTTTTACCATACAATATATTGCACAGAAAAGGCCTCCTATAAATATCGACTGAATGAAATACTCCCTGAGCTTCCTAAACAAACAAACCAAAAATAAATTTGGGGATAGTATTCACAAGAATATTATAAAAGGTATTGAAAGTCAAAAATTACACAGTAAACGCTACTTCTCTAGTAAAATCCTAAGAAGATTGGAAGAGAACACCATTTATTTTGAACATTTCTTTTAATGGTTAAAAGTAATTTTTTTTTAGCCACTCACCACTCAGCCTCCTTGGAGCTTGTTTTTGCATGAAACCAGGAATTTGAAACTGAATTTTTTTTAAGAGGGGAAATATTACTGGAGGGACATTTCCAAGTGAATTTCATTGAACTTCCAAATCGAATTACACGATGCTAAAATGTGAAGTGCTTGCCATCTGGGTGACTGTTTCGCTTATTCAGAAAAGAAATCAAATCATCAGAGCCCTCCAAGCTAAACACAAAAGTTATAGAATAATCCCTGCAAAGAGCAGAAATAAAAATATAATTCTTCTCATTTATCCGCTAGCTTTCATCCCAAAGTACCTTTGAGATATCATTCACTTACTGTGGATATGCAGCAGCCACTGGGATGGAAATCTGATAACCTATGTGAGCCAGCAACTCTTTAAAAGACAGGAAGTAGAAATAATTCACCCAATTGAAAAAGCAGCAGGAATTTGGACTGGAAAAAATGGAGCTACCTGAGTTGGAATTTGGTGGGCTTGGTGCAGCTTACTCTGACAGGAAAAGAATGCATTAATGTGGAATTTTATGACTGCACATGTTCTCTGCCGATGGGTTAGGACAGGACTCCAGCAAAAAGGTGACCATCTTTAGACCATTTCTGCTTCTTTGTTTCTTTGTTAATTATAGGTCACACTTAACTTTTAATACCTGTTCACATTAAGATTCACTTTCATCATTAAAAAAAAAAACGTCAAATTTGTAACAATAGTCATAAAACTAACAAGGCCCCCAAAGAAAAAAACATGCTCACACATCTGAGAATTTCTTATAACTTTAGATACAAGTTTCATTTTATTTAACCTAAATTCTGTTGACTTAAGATCACATGGAGTAAAAGCTTACTGAAAAACTAAGTAAGGAATAAATATTATTTGTTAGGTGAAAGACAGGTTAATGAACACTTTTATAAAATTTATAGTCTAATTTAGAATGGAAATGTTAGTAACTAGCAATGATTCTGTGTGAAACAAGATTTAAGGAGTGAAACAAGATTTAAGGAGTAATAGCTCTTTATTGAGCTATGTTCTATATGTTCAGAAGCCAATCAAAATGAAATCATACATTAATTAGGTTTGCTCTTTAAATGTCACTTTGTATTAACAGAATTTACCTTGGTGGTATATAAATTCATATCACAGGTACACTATTTCTATATGTTTAACCACTCTTTCCCTCTACGGTGATTACTAATATTACATTTAAAGTGGTCTTAAATAACTGGTTGAAGAATGCAAGACATTATAATCGGGTTTTAAAAACAGTTTTTTGAAACAATGAATTACTTAGTAAAATGAATTGCTGCATTACTTGTCTGTACCTTTCAAGTCAGCGAAAGTTACTTAGGACTTATCTTGCCACTAAAAATTATTAGGTTTGGTGGCCGGCCAAATAAAAATTCAGGAAGGGGCTTCCCTGGTGGCGCAGTGGTTGAGAGTCCGCCTGCCGATGCAGGGGACACGGGTTCATGCCCCGGTCCGGGTAGATCCCACATGCCGCGAAGCGGCTGGGCCCGTGAGCCATGGCCGCTGAGCCTGCGCGTCCGGAGCCTGTGCTCCGCAACGGGAGAGGCCACAACAGTGAGAGGCCCACGTACCGCAAAAAAAAAAATAAATAAAAATAAAAACCAGGAAATATTTTCTTTATGTCATATGTCATTTTGGTCAGGAAGGAAAAGTATTAGCTGACTTTTTTGCATCAGTTTACATTTGATATAATATTGCAGTATTCTTTTTGTTAAGTTGATAGTGCCTTCAGTAACTTTGGGATTTCTTTAATAGTTTGTCAGCTCAATTCTATTGCTACTGTTTTAAAACGTTTCATTCTGACCCAGATTTTTATTACCAGTTCTAGGTGTAATTTAATACATACCATACCTAAAGTACCTAAGGTATGCTAATGTACATGTTACTAGTGTTTGGGGGAAAACCACTCTGATTTGTCAGGTACCTTTTCACACTTTGCTTTTGAAAGTGCTAGCTTTGTTGTTAGAATTTTTAGGATACTTTCAAGTTAAAGACTTACTGAATTTTATATCAACAAATAACCATGAATGAGGTATTTCATGGTCACCAAAATTTTCTTTCTGCCCTTTTCATGTCTTATGTTACATTTTACAGCAAATAAAACTACAAAAGTTTACAGCTGCTGAAATTTTCTTCCTGCACTTTTATTCATCATAATGAGACCTTTGTGAATATATCCCCTCATTACAAATTCTGTGAATTAAAGGTCAATGTCAGTTGAATGAAAGGGAGTCGGAATTCATGCAGGGAAAATTTAAGTGATTATCTCAAGCTCTTAATACCATTAAAACTTTTTTTACAAATAAATGTTTCTATTTTATTAACTGTATATTCAAGGCAGAATTACAAATGAATAGTTCTGGCACAAAATAGGACTTCATAAATGTTAGAAAAATAAATGAAATCATCGAAATGAAGGTAAAGTGTATGTCTTTACAATGACAACCTCTATAAACATAAGTGAATGTGCTGGCTCGTTTCTTGAATTCGTCCCAACTGTGTAGAAGCTTATGCCTTTAGCATGTTCCTGTGCCTAAAGAATATCTGTAATTTCTTATCCAGGTTAAGACTGCTGTGGTTTGTCATTTGGCAGTATGCCAGGTATCCACATGCTTACTGTTGCTTCTGGCCATTAACTGCTAGTTGCTAATGAGCTATTTGAATACTTGCTTATGGTTTCCTGAAAAAAAGAAGAAAAAAAGAAGAAAAAAAATGTCGTCTTCAATTCCCCATTGACATTCTCCCCCTTAGAAATCTGATTTGACCATGCTGGTAGCAATGTCACTGTTTTGCCACCAGGGAAACTCAGTACTGTCATGGATGCTAGCAAA